TAGCCACTGATGACGTCATCAGTGACGTCACTGATGACGTTACCGGCATCCGCATCGTCATCATCATCATCACTGATGGCGTCATCAGTGACGTCACTGATGACGTCATCGGCATCGTCACGTGGCCCCAGGCCACGTGACCACCCCGACGTCACGTGACCCCCAAGGTCGTGTGACCCCCCGCCTTCCCGAGGTCACTTGACCCACCCCCCCAGTACCCTTCCCTCCTCCTCCTCAAGAGCTGCGCTCTAATTCGGCGTTACAGGGAGTTGTAAACGGCTTTCATTTTAGAGCGCAGCTCTTAGGGGCCCGTTCTCGGCTTGAGCGGCGTCGCCGTCGCCGTCGGCGTAACCAAGGTCATCCCAAGGTCACGTGACCCCTCCCAAGGTCATCTCAAGGTCACGTGACCCCTCGAGGTCACGTGACCCCTCCCAAGGTCATCTCAAGGTCACGTGACCCCAAGACCCCACGTGACCCTTTGAAGGTCACGTGACCCCCGAGGTCACGTGGTCCCCTCCCCAAGGTCACGTGACCCCCAAGGTCACGTGACCCCTCCCAAGGTCATCTCAAGGTCACGTGACCCCAAGGTGACCCCCACGTGACCCCCAGGTCACGTGACCCCTCTGAGGTCACGTGACCCCTCTGAGGTCACGTGACCCCCCGAGGTCACGTGACCCCCTCCCCGAAGTCACGTGACACCCCCCCCCCCCCCGAGGTCACGTGACCGCCCCCCCGGAGCATATTAAAGAATGAGGGGAGGAGGAGGGGTCTACCCTCCCCTCAGTACCCTTCACTCCTCCTCCTCAAGAGCTGCGCTCCAATTCGGCGTTACAGGGATTTGTAAACGGCTTTTTTTAGAGCGCAGCTCTTAGGGGCCCGTTCCCGGCTTGAGCGGCGTCGCCGTCGCCGTCGCCGTCGCCGTCGCCGTCGGCGTAACCAAGGTCATCCCAAGGTCACGTGACCCCCAAGGTCACGTGACCCCTCCAGGTCACGTGACCCCTCCCAAGGTCATCTCAAGGTCACGTGACCCCACGTGACCCCGTGAGGGTCACGTGACCCCCAAGGTCACGTGGGGCATCTTGGGATCACGTGACCCCTCCCAAGGTCATCTCAAGGTCACGTGACCCTTTGAAGGTCACGTGACCCCCAAGTCACGTGACCCCTCTGAGGTCACGTGACCCCCAAGTCACGTGACCCCTTTGAGATCACGTGACCCCCGAGGTCACGTGGTCTCCTCCCCAAGGTCACATGACCCCCGAGGTCACGTGACCCCTCCCAAGGTCATCTCAAGGTCACGTGACCCCAAGGTGACCCCACGTGACCCCTCTGAGGTCACGTGACCCCCAAGGTCACGTGACCCCCTGAGGTCACGTGGGGGTCACCTTGGGGGTCACGTGACCTTGAGGTGACCCCCCATGTGACACCCGAGTTCACGTCACCCCCAGGTCACGCCTCCCCGAGGTCACGTGACCCCCTCCCCGAAGTCACGTGACACCCCCCCCCCCCCGAGGTCACGTGACCCCCCCCCCGAGCATATTAAAGAATGAGGGGAGGAGGAGGAGAAGGAGGAGGGGTCTACCCTCCCCTCAGTACCCTTCACTCCTCCTCCTCAAGAGCTGCGCTCCAATTTGGCGTTACAGGGAGTTGTAAACGGCTTTCACTTTTTTTTTTACTTAAACTTAAAAATCTTTTTTTTTTTACAACAACGTGGATTTAAAGTGTCAATGTGCCGAAAAACCTTTACTCGCTCGTTGGAACCTAAGCGCACGGTGAAAGGAACTTACACCCAAAAACAGCATGGATTAATGTTGCAGCCAAAAAAAAAAGACGCCGTAACTTCCAGAGGGTGCAAAGCAGGCTGCAACATGTAGCCGAAAATAGTTTCGAAAAATCCGAGACAACAAATCTGTTTCGATTTTCTTGTTTTATCATCTTTTTGGTAAGGTAAGGCTTTTTAGTAATCATACAGTGACAATTTATGAAGAAAGAGAGCTCATCGCTTCGGGCTCAGAAACGTCGTCTGCAGTATAACATTTGTTTTTGAATTACCCAAGCATCAAAAAATGTTGGGAGGTTGGGTACACGCGCTGTACGTGCCCGGCATCCCAATAGAAAAAATTCGAAGTAAATAACCCGAATAAAGAGTCCATGAAACGTCCGTTCGAAGTGAAATGTGTTTTAGAATTTTGCATTCGAACAGTTAGAGCTGAAGACGCCAGCGCGCGCAGCGCGTGTACCCACGTTCCCTGTATTTTCTTAATTTGGCAAATGGTGTATTGCGGAGGGCGAGGGAAGCTCCCGTCGTGGCCGCCAGCGATTTTATGTGCCACCAAACAGACGCCTTTCGTTAGCAGACGGCCGCCGTTGTGTAGGGATTATAATTTTTCATTTATAAGTTTTCACTCAGGTAAGTTGGTCGGTGAAATTTTTGCATCCTCAATACACGTACCTCGACTACCTTTGTACAAAATCTTAGCCCATTACTTTCCCATAACCGATTTATCCGGTCCGTTGGAACAGTCATCAGTCGCGTTGCTTCCCGCTGTACTGTCCGCCATTTTGTTGTTATGAGCTGTCTAGGGCATGTCAAGGGCGAGACTTATAAGGATCCAAACAAAACCCCGAAATGCGTAGCGAATAGAAGCTTATAAGCCTGATCACGCTGATATCTAACAACAAACTAGTGGACTAACATCTATACCCGCATTCACTTCAAGAACCGAAGTGAAAAAGTCTGACTCCCCGTCGAACGTTGCTAATTTCCCCTTTCTTGCGTACGATGGAGTGTAGGTGTACATAGCTTACATGAGTTTTGTTTAATTTTGTCAAGACGTACACGTTTCAAGCTCCAAATGCATTGTTTCTTCCTTCGACAACCAAACATTGTAAGAACTACTTCTCGCAACGCATGAATAATGCAGAAAACTCTTTTTTATTTTTCTTGACGTGACAGCAAATACAGAATCGACTCTGTAAGTGAGACGTTTTCTGCTCCCCACAAACTGTTGCAAGGGGCGCGTTACTATGGAAGAATACGTGAGACCGGATCTCGCTCCGAAAGAGCGCTCGTTCAAACATTAGACGTGGGATTTAAACGTCTAAGAAAAATAGATATAGGAGGCCCCGATTTCGCGTCTTACCACAACAGAGGTTTGCAGAGAATCGGCTGTTTCTGAAATATTTGCGACGTAAACATCCTTTTCTCGAGGCGTCTCGAGATGCCTGCAGCGGGCGACGAAGGCATACGGAATGACTGAAGTACCTCGTCTGCAACAGCTTGCATCTTTTACATAGTGTTACGATTTTGATCCTGTTTTTATTGGGAACAATACGAGCCTTTCAAAACTCAAAAAGTTTGTAAAAACGAATCATATTTACGTGTGATACGAGATACTGCCTGACGAAAATCATCATATATAGGAAAGCTGCTAGAAATACGACGAGGTAACCATATGTTTAGTACATGGTGTCAAAGCAGCGGCAGTATTTTTATTTTATTTTTCAGTTGGCGTGCATTGTAATCAAGGAGCAACTATTTTGAATCTAGTATCATCGATTCGAGACCCCAAATTTCGTTTGCAGGCTCGCAATGTCGAAGTATGTTTCATACCTGCTTCTAATCACCAAAATGAGGAAAATTCATGTTGATTACTTTGTTTTCAGCAAGACCTTAAATAGCGAACGAACTCGGTAAAACATTAGCTAACTTGACATCGCTTACCTCGGACAGTTTGTTTCATCACACAAATGTGCATTAAAGCAACTATCGTGACGTCATAAATTGTTGAATCCCATGCTCACCTGCACATCAGCGTTGATTCATTTCACATTGTAGTAGTATCTTATATTGATAACGTGATTCGGCTTCCCAGCGCTTTCAGCCGCCTCAAATTTTTCGGAAGCCGGGCAGGCGTTCGCGCTCTCATGCACCTCGAGCGTCTCTCAAAGCTGTGCTCATGCTCTCTTCGCTTCCGAAATCCCACAGAAAGTTGACCCCAAGAATAAAGGTTTCGTCACTCGTCACCAACTTAATTCAACGCAGCTACGTGCTCCATTAGAAAGGGCCACTGGACCCGCGAAGCCACTGTGTCTTCTTCTAGAAAGGCGAAACCGGTCGTAAAACTTTTTTGGGGGCATTTATAATTGGTATAAGGCATTGCGACGATTGAAAAAGCCTTAATGATTAGATGTTGAGACGACACAATGCCTACGCAAACATTAATTTTTAATCAAACAAATTGTAACCTCGCGTCGAGACCCCATGCATTTGCCCATAACAATGACCCTAGCAAAGTTTTGTTTGGAACACAGCGCCATAGTGTGACGTCATCACTTACGTGAGAGTCAACTTCTTTCATCGGTCCCCACAAGACTGCCATTAGCATCAACAGATGATATAGTTTTCACAATGGTCAAACTAAATTCCGCAAAGGGTCTATTCTAGCGTGCTTTCAAGGAAATGTGTATTCGCTTCGGTCACGATATCACATGAGCAAGCGACATGACAAGCTTACACGTGGGCGGCTTCGACGGTGCTTGTTGACCATGATGCAATATTCGTCCTCAAAACAAAAACGGCTATTCACATCACGGTCGCTACCTACATCCAGATGTGTTCTAAAAACTTGGTAAGTAGAGACTACGACAGAGCGAATCGAACCAGAGCCTTGAGATCTAAATTTAGCGAACACACTGCCATTTTTAACGGGTTTCACGTCAAAAAAGAGCTCCAGTTTATATGCGAAACGCACACAAAAACACTATGAAACCGCTATGATTGTAAATAGCGACAGGTAAAGGCTATGAATAATCGTTCTATTGTACAGTTGAAGCATTTTCTTGTTCCAACCGAAACAAATAACTCGAAAAACTTTTTCTTCCATATCAGTACAGCTGGTGTTCCTTGCGGAGGCTAGTCTCTCTCGTCGTGCGGTTCCGTATTAGCGTATATGTATACAACAATTGTGTGCTCCGGCATAGATACGTTTGAAGCAGCGTACTTTCAAAGTACCATGAGTATATTTCGCTTCGTTATCTTCGAAACCTTATTATTCATCGGCGGGGCGAGCAATGAGAACGGCTTCATCCTGACCGTGATTCACACCAACGATATCCACTCTCACTTCGAGGAAAGCAACAAAGGAGGCGGTTCATGCAGCGAGAAGAACAAAAGGGCCAAAGAGTGCTTCGGAGGGGTTGCAAGGATTCTGACTAAGGTGAGCGAGGTCGTGGTAAGGTCATAAATTCGTTTCTCAACATCAGTGGTCGGTGACCCGCGGCCAGCGGACCGCATGCGGTTCGCGGGGCAGTATCATGCGGCCACCGGGACGGCACCAAGAAGAACCTAAGGAACAACGACCCTCCCCTCTCCACACACACTTCAGACGCTCCCTCACACATCTCGAGGACAACGCGGTAGTTTTAGCCTCAAATGGGGTTAGACAAAAAGGGCATTGTACGGTACTTGAGCGGATAACGTCTTCAGTTCCTTTCCTCGTGCTGGTCCAAAGGAAGGGGAAAGAAACAGTATTTGTACAAACATAGACTAGAAATGATCTTCATCCTAGAATCTAAAATATATGGGGAGGGTTACTGAGAAAAAAACATTTTCGAATCCGAACTTTGCGTAGACCTTGAGAAAGCAGTGTGACAAAAAGGTAATATGTACAGTTCCTTCTTTCCACCTGGAGGCAAGATGACAAAGAGATAGATAATAATAATATTAATTTGCTTTATTTTTCAACAAACATAATGTTCGGGAGGACAAAATAATAAAGTTGTTTAGAAAAGCTTGACTGCATGGTCCCCCCCCCCCCCAACCCCCCTTAAATGCAGCACCGGTGCAGCAGGTTTTGAAATACAGAATTACCGGTAACCAAAACAAGAAAGGAATAAACTAAGATAAAATGAGAAAAATAAATGAAAAGGGACAAGTAAAATTCAGAGGTACAAAAAAAAAGAGATAGTTAGAAATCGCGGTTTACTTCTCTTTGATACTTCGGGTGGCATCTCGGTCGATGTCATACTACAGGAACGTCCACTAGCAGAACTCGTTTTGTTTAATGGTTGCCCAACCCAAAAAGTGCATATTTTGCTATTCCGTCCGTTTTTATCAAGAAGTTACCTGTCTACAATTTTAGAGGTCAGTTTCGAAATAGTATTTTGTTTAGCCTTATTATTTGCTTGCTACAATTCGCTTTTATAATAGGCTTTTGTTTTTCAAGGTTTTTTTCTTTTGGTTTTTTTTTTAATAATAATACATGGTGTATCCGGAGCTCCGACTTAATCTTTTCAGGTAAAAGAGCTAAAAGCAAGATCAGAAAATCCTCTTTTCTTCAATGCTGGCGACTTCTACCAAGGCACCGTGTGGTACACAGTCCACAGGCATAAAATTGTTTCTGAGGCAATGTCAAGAATGATGTACGACGCAGTGGTGAGTCATCGCAAGCTTAAGAGCTGTTATCTCACCGACGTTCAAGAACCTAATTATTTCGTAATTTCAACAAAAATAGTCGTGCGACTCCTCTATCATGCGAAAACGTGCACACCATTAGAATACCGAATTTTTTGGGCATTTGCACTCCTTTCGGAAGTAGGTAACGCTGCACAGTGAAACAAGATAATTTGTTATGGCCACGAGGTGAAAAAATCATTTAAGTTTTAACTTTTTTTACGAGATGCTTCGAAAACAAATAAGTGGTCGCACTTTTATAATTTGCTGAATTAATTATAACTTTCTTGTTCAAACGAAGTGAAGGACTGTCTGTTCCAGCCTACAATCCCATAAATATTGCATAAAGTGTCATATTACGGAAGTCATATTAACATTTGAATTAAAGAAGTCGTGACCGTCACGACAAGTCTAATACATTTGAGATATTTCTGTTTCTTTACAGTTCCTAAACTCATTAAGCTTGAGTGTAATAAGTTTCCTCGTCCAGTCAAATCCTCATAAATTCTAGGATAAATCAGTCTAAACTTGTTTTTTAAGAATATGTCAACGCAAACATCAGCTTTAATCCACTCCTTGGGGTCGGGGAAACTAGGTGCCGTTTTGTTAGGCTTTCCGCGTGGTTTCATGGCTGGGAGCTGGCTTCACTTGGAGAAAGGATTTAATGTGCCGTTTGGCGCGGCTTCGAAGCTGATGACGTCGGCTCTCTCCATGGGACAGTTAATGCTTTCGCATTAAAATTGTTTCTCTTTATGAATTAAGAGATAACGTTTTCGAATTAACTCTTTGATAGTTGCTAAGCGGGAACAACTGGCGACAAAACTCTACAATTATGCAACCAGGCTACTTTGCAGATAATAGAAAACGAACACGCTAGATTGACCCAATCACTCACAAACCAGAGGTCGAACTCGACCTAACCCTGGAGAACACCGAAATACGACCGGTACCAAACATTCCCGTGAATATGTGCGTTCAGTTTTCTTTTTCTTTTGGTTCGAGATATAACCAATAGCATTAATAATTGTATGCCATAATATAGCGTCTCAAAAACTGTGGGTCGCGACCGGTATGGGAGCTTGAAAAATGTAAACTTGGCTTCTCTGGTGGCGTCGAGCAAAAGAAAATACAGGTCGCAGCTCAGCCAAAATCGCGCAAGAACTGAGAGTTGCGGTGTCCAAATTACACTCTTGTTTTAAGAAACAGATCTCTAACATATAAACTCACATTCGCCACTAAAAACAGTCACTTCTGCTGACATGCGTTTTTTTCAATAATTGCCAGCCCATTTGATCCATTCTGGCTATCATCTGTGAAATAAATTTTAGCGTAAATTCCGTATGTAATTCATAAACATGAAGTGAAAACATGGCGTCGCAAAAGAGCCTGAAGGGGGGAGCGGGGGGAATCGGCGCGATATTTTAAATATGTTATGGGCCGAAGTGCAGCACAGTTTCTATATTCTGTCCTAACTAGTTTTGTCGTTTCTTTTTTCGCTTTTAAAGCGCATTCCTGAGGGCAAAAAGTCACTCGAGTAGAGCACCGAGACCATAACAGCGTTCATATTCACATGACTGGAGCTAGTCAATAAATTTGAAAAAGAAAAAAAGAACCACGGCCTAAGCAGTTTGGTAAAAAAAAAAAAAAAAGAAAGCGAAGCTTTATGAAAAATAAAAATTTTATACCAGCAACATTGTTTGATTTTGAGTAACCCAAGACTTTCGTACAAAGAGCAACACCGCGCAAACTCGCTACTAACGCTTTTTGTATTTTCTTTATAAATTGTTTTGTCAAAACACAGATAGTTCCCCTAGATTGGTGCCTGTCACGTTTCCGTGATGATGTTTCTGAACAAAAATAAGAAGAAAGGAGGAGGAGGGGAAAGTTTCGCGTGGAAGGCGAGAGCGAAGAACATTCCTCATTCGAAGCCAGTAGTCGGACCGCGACGCATGGCTACGGCCAGAGCTCCGATGAAAACCAGCCGCAGCGGTCGGCAGGAGGCGCTCTGTCAGCGGGGTGCCTCAACGAGGCGGTGTTGCCACGGAGAGCCCCAGGAGAGGCGCGCTGCACTGGCACCCATTTGTTCACCTCAAGCGGCGACGGTCCGCAAAACGCTACGTCAAGAGAGACCTGGTCTTAAAGGGATACTTCAACAAAATTTGAAATATTCCCGTCGTGTTCAAAAATAGGTTGAATATGATCCACAATATCCGTAAATGACAATCGCACGTTTGTATTTTGATCCTGGTGGCTGTATTTTTCGTTATAAACGGCCCTTTCTGGCAAGCGCTCGGAGAAGGCCCAACTTAGAGCACGTGACATCCAACGCAATCGTGACGTAGGTCGTCTCAAGACGAGCAAAGCTACGGCGAGGCTGACGTCGAGAGGATGGCCTAGTCGTTCCAGCCACTGAAGCGGCTGCTTTTGTACGAATTTTGAGTGACGGGTTAATCTTCTATAATCTTCTAGGGGGACAATAGCTACTTCTGCGACACACAAAAGGGATTCTCGGGAAGAGGGGAGTCCCTCCTTCCCCCCTTCTCTCGTCGTGGCCGGAGACGAGACAACCTCCGTCACTAGCTGTCAAGGTTCCTAGACGAGCATTACAAACGAGGCGTTAGCGACATCCACCAGGTGCTCTTTGCTAATCGTTTAATTCGTTTTAAAATTCCTTTTCGAGGCTTTTCTTAACAAGATATTGGTATGTTCCATGTGATACTGCTCTTTTGAACACATATAGACCAAAAAATGAGCGCCGAAATTTCGTTGTGATATCCCTTTAAGGCAAGGGGTGCGAAGTGATTGTCTTTAACCGTGATTCTTTCGAATTAACATTTATTGGTACTCTGCTTTTATACTGCTCATTTTTTGCTTCACTTCTAGCATTTTGTGTGTACTCTTTTTTTGTTGTTCTAAAACCATCCTTTCATTTTGATTCTAGCATGCTCATCGTCTCTTTCTTTCTCTCTAACGAGCGCGAAAATTTGACGCTTCTAACCGCCTTATTGTAACATGGTAGTTGTGTGAAAAGAATAGTTCCTGCAGGGAGCTACGTGGGTCAAACCCACGTAGCCTCAAAAGAATAGCAGGCACATGTGACGTGGACGTGTTGTTCTCAGCTGACAAACTGTCAAGGTTGTGTAGAGCCGTTAATCCTTCTTTTAGAGATGATCGTAATCATTTCGTCACTTGTGCTGAAAGGGTTGTTTATTCACTCCCTTCGTCATGCGGCAAGCGTTATGAGGATCAAACGGCCCGTTTACAACGAATGCCATTGTTGCGGACGGCCAATCAGCGCGCGACACTCCGGGCGTGGCGCATTCCACGCGCGACAGGTTGCGAGCTGATTCGCCGATCACACAAATGTCATTCGTTGTAAATGGCATTCGAGTTCTCCGTGTGGCACGGGTATAAGATAACACGCTAACCCTGTGTCCTCGATGATATCTGGTCACCTTGACATTCCTCGCCTTGGCGTGCCCTTTTGTATTAATTTTCTTCTGCACTTTGCTTTACTACTCTTAACTTTTCGTTTCTTCAATCGCTTCTAATATCATTTTATCTTCCTTTTCTTTGTAGACTTATTCTTTTTTTTTATTTATCTTGCCATGGTCGTCGCCTCTCTCTCTCACCCTGACGAAAGTGACAATTTGGCAAACTTGCCACATACCCCTTTCCCCTCTAATTTACTGGTCTGATCTCGTTGGTACAGAAAAGCGAAAGTGCGGGACCATGACTGGTTCGGGAAATGTAAAAATTAAAGGAACCATGAAATGAATTATGCGCTGGGATAAATGATTTTATATTGGAATTTTACTAATCGCATATCGTTTAGTGGGCTCAAAGAAAACTAGCGCACGAGGGTAGAAAACCAAAATCCTGCTTTTCGGTACAAAAATTTTGAAATATAGAGCACCATTTCTTACCTCTTTTCATTCGAAAGCTTCTCGCCTCTTCACTGCGATGCATCAGCGGGTCCCAATTACGTCAGCCGAGCTCAGCTCACGAATTGGACACGAGCACTGTGTCACTCGGACGTATGCGCTTGTCAACAATCAAGCCCTCGACGAATATTTGGATTGCCGTTTGGAGCCAATGAGTGCCGTGACGGAACTTATCACTTGAAAATGACAAGTTCCATGGCATGCTTAAAAAGCACGCTACAAGCGAATATTTGGTACAAGCTTTGAGTCATCGCACATTGCGACCACTAGATTTCTCATTTCACTTTTGAGCTGAGGAGGAAAGCTAAGAAGAAAGAAGTTGAAAAATAGTTTCACGGTCCCTTTAATAAGTTGACGCCGACTGGAAGAAACTTGGCATATCTGAAGATCTATTCTGCAGAGATGGATTGAGAAATAGAAAAATATTCAAAGGAAGAAAATTGTGCAGGCGCGTGAAGATGGAGAACACGCGGCGCGAGAATGCCAGTGTCAGGCGGAATTCGTCCGGCTGAGGCGAAGACGGCAGTGATACAGCGGGACCAAGTCGTGGGTTCAGTTCGCGTAGGCTAAAGGCCCGTTCACACACTTGCAACCGAGTACGACCGAGTGAGACAAGACCAGTTTTTAAGCCTCTTGTGGCGGCGTAGGTCCAGATGCGCTGCTGCGGAGCAGATCCTAAGCCATCGCAAAACGCTTAAAAACCGGTCTCGTCTCAGCCGGTCCTACTCTGTAGCAAGTGTGTCAACGGGCCTTAACCCCGCCGTATAACGAGGTATACGACGATCGTTAAGCGTACCAGCAAAGATATGAACCCACGGCGACAGGTTTTGGATGGCCGCAGATATTGTGGGTACTACAACCCTAAGTATAGAGCGAGTTGTTAACGTTGTGGCGTAGCTCAATAGAAACGCACCAGATTCGCACGCAGCGGACCCCTGTTCGATTCCCGCAAGCGGCGGGCGATTTTTTTTCAAGGATTTGGCAATATCAACGATGGACGCCCTACAACGCCAACTACAACATCAACAACGGGCGTCA